AACTGCCCATTGATCCCATGAGAATATACAACTTTAAGTAGAGAACTTAGAGATACCAATGCATTTTTCATTACAATTCTTAATTTTTCTGGGAATATTATACTTTCCCCTTGAGTCTTCTTACAAGGACAGGAAAAGCCATGGAATCAGTTACAAAATTGTCTAGTCGCTTCTTTTGAATAAATTTGAAGTGCATATTCTGAGTTTTCGAATGAAGCCGGGTGGGAGAAGATTTCCTTACTTGTTTCTTGTATTGAATACATTTGCAGTGCATATTCTGAGTTTTTGGATGAAGTCGGGTGGGAGAAGATTTCTTTACTTGTTTCGAGTACGGGATTAGAACAGAGAAGGAAAAAAGTGATTTCTTATACTCGTGCTATTGTCATTCTTACATCCAATTAATCGAATATCATGTTGTTTTTATTGCTTACTCAAAGAAATTTTGTTGTATGGTAACCAGCATCCTGTTTTATTTGTCCAATAATGTTCTCTTTGTATTGTTTGCTTAATATATTTAAGCTATTATATAAATTGATAATCTTTTTATTATATAAATACAATGTATTCAATGATATTAAAAATATTAAATATTAAAACTTAAAATTTTAAAACGAGAGAGTCAGTTTTATTTTTTAAAATTATTTTTATTATAAAAAAAATAAGTATTTTGATAATTTATTATAGTGTTTTTGTATTCTCATGAATAAAATAAATAAATATATTTATATAAAAAAAAAAACTATTTCTGAAAAACAGACAAGGAATTATATATAATAATTTAAATTAATTTTACAATAACATATTAAATTGCCACTTTTTGTATTTTTTATATACAAAAATAATTAATTTTCTACTTAAATAAGATTTTTTTCCATTGTAAACACACTATAATTTAAAAAAGAATTTTAATTAAACTATTTTCTTAATTAACTCCATATTTTTCTTAGATGATCTTTATATAATTTACTCTTGTTTCGACCTTGGCCCGAGTAAATACCCCATGCGAACATAATTAACCTTCTATTTGAAACCCGACCCGTGTTAAATTATAATTTGTTGCCCGGCCCGAAAACGACCTAACCTAGACAGCACCTATATATAAACACAGCTTCTTGTTTCTACAAGGGTTTCAAGATTGGCGGAAGAGAGTAAAAGAAGATGCCGGCTGGTCACGGTCTCAGGTCGAGGACGAGGGATTTGTTCGCTCGGCCATTCAGGAAGAAGGGTTATATCCCCTTGACAACTTACCTCAGGACCTATAAGATCGGCGATTATGTGGATATCAAGGTCAATGGCGCCGTTCACAAGGGCATGCCTCACAAGTTCTACCATGGCCGAACTGGACGCGTATGGAATGTTACCAAGCGCGCCATCGGTGTTGAGATGAACAAGCAGGTATTGCTCACAGGCCTCTCTCTCTCTCTCTCTCTCTCTCTCTCTCTCTCTCTCTCTCTCTCTCTCTCTCTTTATTTTCTTTGGTGATTTCAGTAAGGATTTCTTTTTGGAGTTCTGGTTATTTGATATTCATCTTGTTTAACATTTCCACTTATTTTGGTATAATCATCACCTATTGTTCCGTAGTTTTACGTTCTGTATTGAAAATGGTGATTTTTGTTTGAGAATCAATATATTGTTGCATCGCTTTTTCATTAATAGATCCAGGTTAAAAATCCGGTTTTACTTAATTCAGTCCGTTTAGTGTGCTTAGTTCTCTTGTCGAGAAATGATTACATATTTGGTTGTTTATTTATTTATATATTCATTTCTAGGGGAACTGATAATTTGGGAAGTGGATTAGATAGCAAGCTGACATATTGCTTATTTTTTATGAAGAAATTCGCGTTTCCAATATTCTTTAGTGACTTTCTTAAGTTAGTAACTTCTGATAATCAGTTATAATCTCAGTTCCTTTTACACTATTTATGCGATATGGAGGTTCAAAGTATTCTAACTTACTTTGCATTTTTTGGTTTCTGAAAATTTGGTATTTTATTTATTTTCATGGGCTTTGGGGGCGTTTGTTTGGTGTTACATTGTTTGTTTCCTTGCTTTCTCAAGGTGATTATTTTAATTGCAGGCTGAATCTTCTTTGCTATATTTTGTGGTTCTGAAAATTAACCTTTGCTGTGATTTTATACAGCTTAACATATTTTGAGGTTTGTCAGCGGTTCTGGGTTTTAGGCTATCAAGGATTCTGTTCTTGTGCTGATGTTGAATTCATCATTTATGGTTCTGGGTTTTAGGCTATTAACGATTGTGTTCTTGTGCTGATGTTGAATTCATCATTTCGGGTTCTGGGTTTTAGGCTATTAACGATTGTGTTCTTGTGCTGATGTTGAATTCATCATTTCGGGTTCTGGGTTTTAGGCTATTAAAGATTATGTTCTTGTGCTGATGTTGAATTTGTCATTTAGGGTTCTGGGTTTTAGGCTATTAAGGATTCTGTTTTGCTGATTTTGAATTCATCATTTACTTGATTGTTTTAAGATCACATGCATGTATATTATGCAATATTTTAGAAATAAATTGCGGTCGGATTTGCTTTATATTTGGATGGTTGAGGAAGATTTTATGCAATTGGCTTCAGGTGGGTAACCGCATAATCAGGAAGAGGATCCATGTGCGTGTGGAGCACGTGATGCCTTCAAGGTGCACTGAAGAATTCAAGTTAAGGAAGATAAAAAATGATGAACTGAAGGCAGATGCCAAGGCAAAGGGTCAGGTCATAAGCACAAAGAGGCAGCCAGAGGGCCCAAAGCCAGGTTTCATGGTAGAAGGTGCAACATTGGAGACGGTCACTCCCATCCCGTATGATGTGGTTAATGATCTCAAGGGTGGATACTAGTTCTATCACCATCTCTTTTTGTTCTTTCCTGGTTCTTTTTTTGGTTCTTGTAGTTCTAAACTTTTATGGACTCATATAATGTTTCTTGAGTAGTGTTATTTTTGAAGAGAGTACTTCATGAATTAGGGATTATTTGTATCATCTTTAATGTTAAAACGATGTTTTTCTTTGCAAAGTTAATGTCTGATGGGTTGCAGAATGTTTACCATTAACCCTTATGATCTTAGGGTTTGCAGATTATTCAGCTGAAAGGATCAAAAGATGGTTATGGCCTATATATATATACCTATTAAAGGGGACTGCTCTTATGTCTCTAAAGCTTTCTATTATTGGAAGAGATAAATTTGATATTTGTCTACATTTCACTATATATATGTTTTTGGTGTTATTTTACAAAAAAAAAATTACTAGTTTTAAATTTGTATTCTTATTATCATTATATCTTATTTAAGTTTTATAACATGTTAAAAACTAGGCTCTAACATTTTCTCCTGCATAGTTGTACTTCATCTATCAAGGTATAATCTATATGTTTTATCTCAATTAATTCATTATATTAATTTAATATTGTAATATTATTTTTATTATTTTTAACATCTCTACTTGCATATTATTTTCATAATCAAATTTTTTATCTCATCTTTTTTAAACTTGTGTGTATATATTCCTTTCTTTTTTTTTTTTGTTTTTTGTATTTTTAAAAACAGTCTCTTCTTAGTCTTGCTCTCTTTTGAGATCCAATTAATATCATTTGATTTTTCATGTACTTTTTGAAAAAACAAATCAAAATTTTTCTTCTTCATTAGATCCATCCAATGTCACTTGTGAATTGTTGAGGTAGCAGGTGACATGTCGAGTGACCGCCACATCGTTTAAATTTGCCGATTTGGACACCATGTCAGCAGCGTATCAACGCCTATGTAAGCAAGCAATTCTTTTTTTTTTTTTATAAATATTTTCTTAACTAAGGTTTTGTTCTCTTAGGTTTTTAACGATGCAACTTTTTATATTTTAAAATACATATAAAATAAATTTTTTTTTTACGTTTTCATAACCTTTATATGTCCATCTCTCTCTCTTTTTTTTTTTTAATTTTTTTTTACAACATGTTAATTTGTTATTTATTTTCAATTTAATTCATGGCCTCTGTAAATATAAATTGTAAGAAGTTTTAAGGAGTTCTTGAATTTGAATAGAAAATAATTATTATTCCATTAACATAATTATGTTCATCTATTATTATTATTATTATTATCGTCTTTATATTTTAGTCTACTTTTTTTTTTTTTATCTACATAGTTTTTTAAATTATCATTTTTATATATGTTTTATGTGTAGATATTATGTATCTACACTACTGTTAAAAAAAATCTTTTAAACCATATTAGTTTTGATATTTGGATCTCATTAAATATATAATTTAAAATCTATATATATATATATATTATCTTCTTGTAATATTTTTATGTCATATTAAAAAAAAAAATCAATTGATATATTGTTTTTATTTATGTTCTTAAAATTGATAATAGTTTGCTAGCAGCAGATGGAAAAAATTTACAAATAGAATATATTAATTATTTTGTAGTTAAATTAAAAATTTTATAAATATTGTAAAAGATCGGAACTTAAAAAAAAAATAAGGTCATGAATTAAATGCGAAAACAAAATAATAGAGTTTAGGATTTACATTCCTTACATAATAATTTAAAATACCCAATAAGGTTACGAGAATGTACATTCTAAAAAAATTACAAAAATCAAGAAAATAAACAAAAAATTAATAACTGAGCATTTTAGGACAACCTTCACTAACTTTTAAAGGGAGTTCGAGTGGTGAATTATTTACAACCATCTTGCTGATCGGGATCTAGATTTTGATCCTCTTTATTTGAAATAGTTAATGAAAGTGTGAGCTACACTAATCCAGTAAGAATATCACACTACTCACCGATACAGAAACTGAAAGTTGGTAAAAATTATAAAACAACCAATGGAACTCTTAATTTAAGTAAATTTATTTATCATAAGAAAAATTATTTATTTTATATATTTACTGTTGCGAGATTTTTAAAATCGATCTATAAAAATAATAATCCAAATAACATTCTAATATTATATTCAAGTGAGCAAGAACAATAACTTTTCCTTTTTGATTTGCCTACTGGTATCCCTAGGAGCTTATAGGGATGTTCTATTACGCATGAACCAATATTCAACATTGTCAACTAACCGGTCATCCCAATACCTTATCCGATATGAGTGTCAAAAATATCAATCCTCAATACTCCATTTGGTATGAGGGTGAATCGGACTGTCTCCATACCCCGTTCGGTATGAGCGCCAATAAATACCATTTCTTGATATCCCGTTCGATATGAGGTAACATTCACGGTAGGGTTCTCTATGTACCCAGTCTGTTCACCATTATCCAAAATATCCAGTAAAACTACTATTCATTAATTCATATGACCAATTAATTTTCCATTTACATATTAATTTTCAATTTCACAAATCAACCGTAAATAAAACAAGACGAGCAATATATATATATATATATATTGAGGAAGTACTACTGAATCATTCAGTTATTTCAGTATATCATCATGTATTTAACGCTGCAAATTCAACAATCAGTTAAACATGATAATAAATAAATGACTAACCGGTATTCAGCTCCATTGGTAACTTGTAAGTATTCTCACTTTTTAAATTACACAAAATATCATATTACCGATTATTAAGTTTTAATTTCATAACAGAGAATAAAGTGAGAGATTTTTACCCGAATCGGTGTCCGAAACATCGAACTTTCTACTGCGCTTACTAGTAGTTCTTGGGTTTTCTGAATTTTTCTAGAGAGATTAAAACACGCTCCATTTACCTAAAAATACCACAAAAAATCTAAAATTAGTATTAAAAACTTTTTTTAGCCAATTTTAAAATTTCGACACGGCGGCACTGCCTCCCGCAACAGCAGTTTACCTCGGCCTGCTCGTTTTCGGCTGGTTTTTTACTCATCCATACGAGAAAATACGTTAGAGTGCCTCAGTTGGCCGAAAAAAGTTAAAAAATAAAAACTACATGTGACAAAATTTTTCGGTACGTCAGCTCTACTGGCTCACCTTCGCGGATAGACATTTTTTTCGGTCAACCTGTAGAAAACAGAACGGTAAACACAATGATAGAAAAATCTCATGAAACAAAAAACGAGAAGGGGCTCATCGGAGGCAGTTTCGAGTTTTACCAGCGGCAGCGTCGCCGGGCTTTGCACAGAGTTTTCGACTCATCTGCCGTTCTTTTTACTCCGATTTGGCCATGGGGGTGCTCGAAATTTTAACATTTTTTGGCGTTTGTAGGTGGTTCTGGTGCTGCGGCGGACGGCGGTCGGCTCCCTTCTCTGGCGACTGGTTCTTCTTCTCCTGTAGGAGGCTGACGGTTAGGATTTTGACTTCGGTGTGATGCGAGATATTTATAGCTGTCTCGTTTAAATCTGAACCGTTCATCGCGTTTGATTTCGATCATTCATCGCGACAGTCCGATTGCACCTGAAGAGGGAATGGATTCGTATCGTCCACGCACGTGGGAACGCTTCCAGAACGTCCAATCGCGGGTACGCGGGTTGCTAGTATGGCCTCCCGCATGGCACCAAGTCAGCGTGCTTTGCCACACGGCGTGTTCCGATTCGTCAGGGCTGCTGACTAGGTGGTCTTTTGTGGCATAATTTTTTTAATTACTCTTTGACCCCCAGTTTTCGATTTTTCTTTCAAAAACACCAACCAAATCTAAATTTTCATCTATTTTTCTCAAAATCATTTTCAATTTCATCATCAATTTATTTTTCATTAATTTCACATTAAATAAAAATTTATTATTTTTAAAATTTATATATTTTTTAAATTTCAAATTAATCTCGGACCAAATTTCGAGATCGGATATTACAAATAAAAGATCACAATTATTTTCATTGTTGAAATAGAGAGAAAAGATGTGCTAGTATGGTAAATTTTAAGTATAATTCATTCTATATAAGTTTAAATAAAGTTTTTTATTATATAAATATAACATATTTTCAAAAATGGATATAAATCTGAAATATTAAATATTAAAGGTTAAAAATTTTAAAAGTAAAAAATTAATTTAAAAGGGAGAGAGTAATTTTAATTTTTAGAAATTATTTTATGAAAGAAAGGGACTTATATTAAAATTTTCATAGAAAATACTAACTGAAACCCGACCCGGAATGTAAATTTTAGCCCGGCCCATAAAAATGAGCAAACCTAGAGAGCGACTATATGAACAACATTTTCGCTTGCTTAGGGGTTTCTTCAAGAGCCGCGCGAGAGAGAGAACGTGGGTAAGAGAAGATGCCGGCTGGTCACGGTCTCAGGTCGAGGACGAGGGATTTGTTCGCTCGGCCATTCAGGAAGAAGGGTTATATCCCTTTGACAACTTACCTCAGGACCTACAAAATCGGCGACTACGTCGATATCAAGGTTAATGGCGCCGTTCACAAGGGCATGCCCCACAAGTTCTACCATGGTCGCACTGGACGCGTATGGAATGTCACCAAGCGGGCCATCGGTGTCGAGGTCAACAAGCAGGTACGCTCTCCGGCCTCCTTCTCTTCTTCTTATACTTTGTGACTTCAGCACGGACTTCTTTTTGGAGTTGTGGTTATTTTATATTTATTTTATCTAGCATTTCCGTTTACTTCCGTGTTTGTGGATATAATCATCTAGTGTCGAGTAGTTATGTAATTTATATTGAACATCGTTATTTCTTTACGTTATGTGCTTAGTTCTCTTGTCAAGATTATTCCAGATTTGGCTGTTTATTTATCTATATATTCATTTATGGGGAAAGTGATCATTTGGGAAGTGGATTTGACTGTGAGATGACCTAATGCTTATCTTTGTATGAAGAAATTGTTGTTTACTATAGTCTTTTGTGACCTCAGTTTTTCTTAGGTTAGTAACGTCTGATAGTCAATTGCAGTTAATTCTTTTATGTTATTTCTGTGATATTGAGGCTTAAATATTTGAAATTTACCTCTGATTTCTGCTTCTAAAACATTGATATTTTGTTGTTTCCATAGGCATGTGGACCTGTGTTTGTTGCTACATTGTTTGTTTCCTTGCTTTCACGAAGTGATGATTTATATGTAGTAGGCTGGCATTTGTTTGCTGTATTTTTTGGTGCTGAAAATTAACCTTTTCCTGCGATTTTATACAGC